AGATGTTTAATCAATCATTGTTTTGGTGAAATAATTCCCCCGGCTCTCTTACATCACTTTTGCAAGCTGGGCTTCTATGTTTTTTTTTYCCCCTTTGGGTGGACTTATCTATAAATTCATTTTTTTTATTGAAGCAGATCTTCACCAAACAGTGCAGCAGGTATGAGACATTATTGTGACACTGGTTTCTTTTACAGTTTAGTTGAATTAAGTAAAAGCCATATTTTTCCAAGTCCTTTCTCCCCCTGCCTTCACTCAGGTAATTGGTCATTTTGCTGCCAATTTTGGGCAGCTTGGATGCTTGCTGCCATGGCCTGACCCCTGCTGCTGCTGTAATGGGGACAGCATTTCTACCAGTTCACTGGGGGGCTTTTCCCACACCGTGACCCTTGCTTTCTAAGGAGAAAGCACCTTTGAACACTAAAAAGGCATCATGGAGTAGAAATGCTACTTTGAAGTTTGTTTTTTATAGCCTGATGGCAGACAGTCAGTTCTGGATTAATCAGGTGGGATATGGTCATCTTTTTTTAACATTCAGAGGTTTTTGCTTTAAGAGATATAGACAGTTGTGCAGAAACAAACTTTCTTCTGCTTTTCAGACTTTTAGATTTGACTGCAGAGCGATAAGAACATTAGGGCAGCAGCCTGRCATGATGAGGTGATGTGAAGCAGGAGCTTCAGGTGTCTCCAGCACCTAAAAACAAACAAAACAATCATTAATATCCTGCACAAAACTGATACAATTATATGTCTTAATTATGTTTTCAACTGGACGACACTTTGAATGATTGATGATTCTTAAAACAGCTGAAATAATATGAAGAAATAACAAGTTTGTGAGTTTAATTATGTTTGTAATTTCAAGTTTATTTGTTTTAGGCAATAAATATCGAATTGATTCAACTTTATTTTAAATTGTGCTAAAAGCAAACAAGGTTGACCAGAGTGCTGAGCAACCCATTCACTTAAAACAAAAACTTAAAAAACATTTAAAAATAATAAAAATGTATAAAAAAAGATAGAACGTAAATAAAATAAAATAATTGGGTTCATCTAATACAGTACATGTGACAATAACATAAAACTAAAATAAAATTGGATCAAATATATTTTAAACACCAAGTATAGCATTAAAAATCTTTTTATTCTATATTCATAATAATTTAATAGGAAAATTTTGTTTATTATTAAATACTTAATCACATCAAATCAAATTGAAAATAACTGCATGTGACAATAATAAAATATAATTATTATTCTAATT